TAGTATTTTAAAATACAATATTTTTCAAAAAATACCTATAGAATGAGCAAGACCTGCATACATGTATAATGTTGTAATACCCATGATAAATGTAGTTGTAGCTTTAACAATAAGAGTTGACCAAGGACCAGTTAAAAAAAATACTATGAGAAAATCTAAGATAAGTGGCCTATAAACTGTAAGTATAAGCATACTAACTACTATTGGAACAAAACTTCGTTTTAAATCATGTCTTGACCATAACCATACTAGTGTTGCTGTAGTTATATGTTGTACCTATATGTTAAAAGTTATTAATAAAATATTTTTTGCAAAATATATAATAAATATTACTTACTAAATTAATGTTAGATTCAAGACTTTTTTGAATATATTTCCAATCAAATTCTGCACCCCTTGCTCCAACCCATAACAAAAGAAACCTAGTAAGCAATACTTCAGCTCCAGCCCATCCAACTCCAGCAGTTAAAACTTTTGCATGTCCTTTACCAGGAATATTGTTCAAAACTAATAATATTCCTACCAAATCAGCTAAATCTATTGAAGATTTTAAAAATTCCTATAAAATTTATTTTACGTCAATTCAAATATATCAAATACATATATATTAATATTAAATTAAAAAAAAATATATAAATACATACACCAATTAAATCAAAACCTTCACCTCCTACATTGTCTGCTGTAGGAAAAAATGTAGCAAGTGCAAGCATTTTTACTAATTGTGTAAATATATAAATGCCTCCAGCTTGAATACATTTCCAAAATGCACCATATTCTGATCTGAAAATTTTTAAATATATTATTTGTATTTAGATATATTAAAATTTAAGTTGCAATTAATTATACATTATTATATAATATTATTATACATTAATAGAATCATCAAAATAAAAATAAATTTGAAAATGATTATAATATTATTTTAATCTATTTATAATAATATTATTTTAGATATATTATTACATTCCAATAATATATAGATTAGAATTATAAATAGGTTAGGAATAGTTTCAATGTACTTACAAGCCTGAATATTTATAAGTAAGGTAATATGGAACATAAACTAAAGCTAAACAGTTTCCAAAATGATATAATGTCATCTTTTTAATAATATTATGTTAATTTAATTTAGATATTATTCATCATTAAATATCAAACAATTTATACACAGAGCTGATAAACGAAAATACATATATGGCTATTATAAATTTTGTCGATAAAGAAAACTTCTGTATTTTTTAATTTCACGAATAAAATGTCAATTTTTGTTATTTTATTAATAGTTTTTAATTCATTTTAATATTGATTGTGATTATATATGCATATCTTTAGTCTTAAAAATTTATTATTATTAAATTAAAAAGCATAGAAATTAAAAAAAATAATTTTTTTCAGGTTA